CTGGGGGGGAGGGCGAAGGATTCAGCAAGCCACAACTCCGTGGTATTTAAGTGTTCGCAGTGCGCAGGACAGATGCACAGCGTCTCTGAGTTATGCTGAATAAGCATATGTTAGAGCACAAACAAAATTGCTGCTATCCATAGGCAAATTCCAGGGAAAACTTAGAGCCTAAGGGACCATTGAAGTACGTCTCGGCTCAAAGGCATTTGAGCTCCAGCAATGCATGGATCCAACGCGGCATCAGTGGCAGTTCAGTACTATGAATGAGGCATGCTCAAACTAAACTCTAATTTGAGGTTGTGACTGAAGAATCATATGTTCTACACAACGTTGACAATGCTTCTAACCCGAAAGCATTTTTCATGCTACTCTCATTCTTATCATTCTTCTTCCTTTTGTTCTTATTCCGCTTTTCTTCGTAGCCTCCTCTACCATTCTTGATTTTTATCTATTTTTTCTTGTTCTTATTTTTTTCTCTCATCCATCTTTTTTCCTTAGTGTTCTTTTATATTCTCATTCATTTTTTTCCGCGTTTTCATCAAATCTTTTCTCTTCGTTTTCTTATTTCCAGTTTCATTACAAGTTTTTCCTCTTCTTCGCCTTCATCTGCATCTGCTTCTTCCCTCGCATTTTACTGCTTCTTTTCTCCCTATCTTATACTTAATTTGCATTTTCAGTTCTTCCTGGTAAATTTTTCCTTCTGCTACCGTAGCTTAGTTTTCTATCATTTTCCTGTCTGTTTGTTTAACTTTTTCTTTTCTTCTTTCTGTGCTCCTTAGTCCCTATCTTCCTATGCTTATTTCTCCGCTTCACCTTCTCCGTATAGTCTATGTGCTGTGCACATTTTTCTGCGCTTTCGAATTTGTTAAAGGATGTCATCGCGTGGTGTCTCCCTCCCGTACAGAAGCGTAAGCCGCTTGGTCAGAGTTGACATTGCTGGTGTTGGTTTCTCGCCCAACTTAAATATCCGGTTGCGGACTCTCGAAGAATCGGACCAGAACACCAGATCGAGTCGAGTCACATACCTCACTTCCTCACCGTATACCCTCACAACGCCAGTAACGATAATTTTGTCAGTCTTGTTAACCAAGCCCTGAGTACACGTCCCGCTCTACGCCCAGTCCTTGACGCGGCCTGACGGATAACTCGAAATGACACACACGAGGAGTGCCGGAGTTAATTGCGCTCATGCCGCGTGATTGACGCGCAGC